GCGCTACCACGCCCGGCTAATTTTTGATTTATTGTAGAGATGAGGTCTCGCCAAGTTGTGTAATATTTCAATAAACACATTTCTGAATTATTCTATTTTAATCTCTGAAAAATAGAAGCGCACAATTTTTATACATGGACTGGAAAACGTAAATACACCAGTTATTTCTCTACAATCTGCTTCTCTTCAGCGTACAAGTTCGCTTAACAACAACAGAAAGCCTTCATCTCATATGCAGACACATGGGACAAGTTTCTATTTTTAAAAGTATCTACTTTGGCTCAGAAATATCCATTTGAGGAAAACCCACAGAGATTAAAGTGCAAATTTTTTCCTTAAAACTACGTGGTTAGATCCCCTCTTGAGCCTTGCCACCGATTTGAATTTGGGACAAAATTTCAGATTGAGTGACAGCCAGGATGAAGTAACCGGGAGTATTCTTTAACGTCAGCCAAGCGCCGCACTTGACTTCTGAATGGACTCCAGTGCTCGGAGCTTCAAACGCTACTTTCAGAGGAAGCATTTCCCAAGCGTTTCAGCGGCTCGTGAACTGAGTCTTAAGGGCAAGATCCAGCGAAACTTAGCATCATAAGCAGGAAAATGCGAAATTAAGACTCGGTTTCACCGAGCAAGCACCTCCCCAGGCCCGACAACAGCACCAGCCTTTTCAGCTCAGCTCGCCCAGGACGTCGCAACGCCCAAGGCCCTCCCGCAGCAAGGGCGCCTGCGCAAACTTCTCCACGGAATCAACTAAACCCTTCCTTGGGCCAGTCGAGGCGAATGGGTTTGAAAGTATTGTCAGGTTACGCCTCACTTTAAAACACAGGAGGTATGACAAAGCACACCACGACGACCACTCACCGAAGTGGCCCTAATTCAAACGACAGGACTTAAGCTTCCTCTCGCGACTTATCTGGTGCTGCCGGAAGCGGAACTACCCGTGTCGTTAAGAGAACGGTCTTTATGAAAGCTGCGGAACCTCAGTCAGAAAAAATCAGAGTGGGTCGTTTGGCTTCTGCCGGAAGTCGTTCCGTCCGGTGAAATTTTCGTGTGAGACCCTAGGAGGGCGGGGAAGAGGCGTGGCGGAGTTCCGTGAGGTGTAGCCGTGCCTGAGGTATCTCTGTGTGGCCCTTGAGCTGCTGCTGAAGGGAGAAACTCCCATCCGCTTCTAGCACTGAGGTCTCTCAACGAAGCGCCTCAGCCTGCCCGGGGACTAAAAGGGGAAAAGCTACACCTGAACGGGCTCGGCCGTCTCCCACAGCTCGCGTGACAACCGCAGTCGTGGCAGGTGAGGGCCCCGAGAAGGAGACCCCGACGTGCGGAGCCTTGCCGGCCGAGGGCTGCGGCCGCTGCTGGGCACTTGCTTTGTCTCTGCTCTGCGGACCCGAGGCACGTGCTCCTCCGAGAGCATGAGCCGGAGCCCAGGACAGCGTGCAGGACGGACAGTGCAGCTCTGAGAGTCCTTTCGCATCTGGATTTCTCCTCCTCCAACCCTCGTGGCTTCCCCTTTTCATTTGTGGTGTTTGCGACGCAGCTCAATTGCAGAAATTGCAGCTCAGTTCGCAGGGTTCTGCCGGGCTTCCACCCCACGCTGCTTCTCGCTCCACCAAAGTGGGCAGCCTCGAGTGTGGGCACTGCTGTGGGTAGAGGTGGCTCTTTTTATTTTCATTCCTTAGTTTTTATTCCACTCTTTGTCTCCTCCACGCCCACTTTTATTTATTTTTGAGTACGAGTGTCACTGTGTTGCCCAGGCTGAAGTGCAGTGACACCATTCTGGCTCACCCCTGGCTCAACCTCCTGGCCTCGGACGATCCTTCCGCCTCAGCCCCCCGAGTTGCTGGCGCTGCAAGCGGCGCGCCACCACGCCCTAGGGCTAATATTTTAGTAGAGACGGGGGTCTCGTTGTGTTGGCCAGGCTGGTCTCGGAACTCCTGGACTCAAGCGATCCTCCTGCCTTGGCCTCCCAAAGTGCTGGGATTACAGGCGTGAACCATAGCGCCCGGGCCCACACCCACGTTTAAAAGAACAAAAGCCTGGTGCGTTGCAGTTTCCCGAGTGGGAACGGAGCTGCAGCTCACTCCTGCATCTCATCAGTTGGAGGGTGTTGCATCCTCGCGTGCTTTGAAGAAGGGGCGAGGTTGGTGACCACTGGATCTCATTCACGAGGATCTCGACGACTTCCTGGGAGTTTGCACTTTTGCAGTTCTGTGGGTGGTAGTTGTTTTGTTGAGGCGTGCAGGAAGGCTTAGCTGTGGAAATAGGAAGCATGGCCGACTTTAGCACCTAACATCCTCGCTCCCCAGTGGGACAGGATTTTGTTTTGCCATTATAAATTCTTTAACGAAGTAAATGTTTTTTATTTCAGGAGGATAAGATAATAACGACAGTTGCCATTAACCGAGTCTTACGTGTGCCGAGTGTTTTACGTATTTTCTTATTCACTCTTCTCAACAATTCCATGAGGCATATTAGACTGTTGTCCTCATTTTAGAGAGGTAGAATTGAGGTTTAGAGAGGTCAGGTAACTTGCTCTGGTAAACCTTTTTAGCCACAAGTAAACGTTTGAATCTATTAGAAGTCTCTCTGACTCCAAAATCTGTATTCTACTATAGTCCTGCCATTGTTCTCCCTTGGTTCTAATTTCTTAACTAACATTTTAAGTGGCTGAAAAGATTGATTGATTAAAAAAAAAATTGGTGCTCCTACATATGTGTCTGACAAAAGATAGACATGATTCTTGCTTTATGGAGCATTGTAATGCAGAACCAAGTAGTTCAGAACCCAAAATATTTTACTTACTGCAGCAAAGACTTATTTAAAGACAGTGGTTAAACCGATGTGCAGAAAGTTCAGAGCTGTGCATTCAAAGCTTGCTGTTTAAATTTTAAATTCATATGACTTGCAGGGTAGTTATGAGAGTATTAAACTGAAAAATTAGTAGAACACTGATCACCCCAAAAAAGTGCTATGCACGAATTTAATTACTGGGATTATATAGATTAGATCCTTTTCTTCAAAAGTTTCTATGTAATTGCATATAGACAATGTTATAGATGTTATAGAATTATTAATTTTCTTAGGTGGAAATGGTATTGTGGTTCTGTAGGAAGATGCCCTTATTTTAGGGAGATACATACTAGAGTACTTAGAGATAAAGTGTTGTCGATACTTTCAAATGGTACAGTCAATTGACTGGGTGTGTATAAATAGAAAGTAAATATGACAAAAATGTTGGCAATTGTTGAGTGTAATGGGGGCTATATGAGTGTTTAGTGAACTGTTCTTTCAAGGTTTCTGAATGTATGAAATTTTTCATAATAAAAAATTGGGAGGAAAAAAATCCAACTCTGCTGGAAAAAAATTGTAAAGATAGGTCTAAAATGCTCTGGAACATAGAGGATGGGAAAGGATTTTAATGTGTATTTGGGGCCTGGCAGAGGCATGATAGTTGTCAGGAAGGCATTAATCGAAGACCTTCTGGTTGGTTGTTGAAGGGTAGTACAAACTTCCAAGGAGAGAGTGAATTCCAGGCCAAAGGAATGAAGGGGATCAACAAAAAGGTACTGAATGAATGTTTAAAGAAGGAAAAAAAAAATCAGTGTGTAGGATGTGTGGAACTCAGAATGGGCTTTTTTTTTTTGGTCATAATCTTATGTTGCTAGATTGCCTTTGCCATCCTACAGTAGCCCATTTATTCCCTATTATGTAGATGTACTATTAGTGCCTTGGAACTGAGCCACCATTTAGAATACTGCAAAATGCTTTTGACATTTCAGGAAAACTGAACATGTTTCTGTGTTCAGGCTAAGCAGCAGTAGCAAGAGCTCCCATTTCCTCTGATTTTGAGGGCAGGAATTTACTAGTTCATAGTTGGGTTCCTGAGGGAGCCTATTAGAAGGGCTACCATGATGACTTGGAAAGATTTTTCAGTTCAGGTAAGGGGCCTCTGAATACTATGTGGGATTGATGGATAATCCAAGATGTTATTTTGAGGACTAGGTATTTCTGGCCAGAACCAATGAAAGTGAAAGAGATCCTGAGGGGTAGTGTTCACCATAGTCTTAAATAGTGTGGTAAGATTGGAAATGTAAAGAGGTCTCCAACAACAGCTTAAGGCAAAGAGGAGTGTCTGTGGCTTCTTTAGATGGGAGTTAAGTAGATACTCTCAAAATTGAGTTGTTTATTTGAGAGGTTTAATAAGTTGGTTAAGTACACAGAGCTGAAACAACTTTCAAACTCAGTTTTGAAAAGTTGAGAGCAATTGCTCTGATAGTGTGATTCCAAGACCAGCAGCATCAGCATCACCTTGGAATTTTTAGAAAGGCAAAATATTGGCTCCCCCACCCCTCAGACTTTTTAGTTTAGTATTTTAACAAGGACTCCAGGTGATTCTGATGCATGCTGAAGTCTGAGAACCATTGTGTTGAGTGTGGATACTCAGTAGCATGAAATTCTTATTTCATATTTAGAAATAGGGTTTAAGTAATATTTGTCTTTTGCACAGATCTAAAGAGATTGACAAACCTTGCTGCTCATCCATTTGTTAAAATATGTTTTCTCTAGTTAAGACTTGTTGCTTAAGAAAATCTGTGGTAGGCCTAGTAACTTGTGTCTTTACAAATATACCAGATAATTCTGATGTAACCAGTCCATTTCGGTACCACTACTATAGAAGGAATTTTAAAAATGAAGAAAGGTTCAACACTGATAACTCTTTAAGCCCAGATAGTTAACATATTTTGGAATTGATGACTAAACATTGCTCAAATGCTAATTAATGTAGAAATGCTATGTGCATAATCTGTATTTGGTTCAATTGTCAGAGTTTCAAGTGAAATAATAAACCATTTAGAATATCCTGGAACTCCTATAAAGTTTATAAAATTTCATCCTGTGCCACAATATATGTCACTAGGGTGAGAAAAGATTTAGATTTATTTCATATTTTTAGTTTTCTAAGAATTTATTAGACATTTGCAATGCTGTCATAAAGATTGTGGAGTCCTGCTTTTTGCTCTTAAGTGAGCATAGTGGTCTTCGCTTAAACAGACGAGAGTTTGATTTCTGTTTGCTACTCTTATTGGCTGTGTGATCATGATCAAATTACCTGAACTTTCTGAGCCTTGGATATTTATTTATAGTGATATAGTAGACATATATCTGTGTACTTCAAGAATTTATAAAATGAGGAAAATATTTTTAATCCCAGGATGGCTGTGAGATTGTTAAATCACAAAATAGAAACTAAATGCTTCCTAGCTTTTCTTCTTGTTAAGGCATACATAGAAAATGGTAGTATTTGTATAGTATCCTATGGAAACTGAAGAATTTGCTACTGGAAGCAGTTGGTCAGGGGTAACATCTGCCTTAAAGGCTGAGGCAATGAATTTCTTGGCATACTTGTATCTCATTTGTGATGAGGCTTTATGTTGGGAGTGCTCTGAGTTTACAAATTAAGTACTTGGTAGCAGTGTTTAATAAATATTAATTCCCTTGTGGTTTTGAAGAGATATGCATAACTCAAACTGTTAACTAATGACAAGGTTATAGGTGGCCAAAGACCAAAACAAATGATTCTGAAAAGTCTTGAAAACTTTTAAATAAAGTTTTGTAGAGGAGTATTTATTGGGTACTTGAGATGTACCAAATAGCAGGAGGACCGAGATTCGACTTCATTCATTTTATCTCCTTTTTATTATAGGAGATCATGAGCTCTCCCATAATAATAGCATACTGTCATAACAATAGTGAACACGTATGTGTTGTTTACCATATGCTTCCATTGTTTACTGTCTCCTCCTTCTTATGAGGGGGATAGTAAACACTGGTTGTCAAACTTGACTACACATTGGAATCACCTGGGAAACCTTAAAAATACCTGTGCTCTACTCTCAAACATTTTGATTTAATTGGTATGGAGTATGGCCTAGACCTTGGGCTATATAAGCACTTTCTAATATCTAATTCTTACAACAAGCTGTGGGATAGGTGCAATATACAGATGATGAAATTGAAGCCCTGGGAGTTGAATCTATTCGAGGTGATACAACTATTGGGGTCAAGATTCAACCTCAGATATTTTTAGCTGAATTCACACTCTTAACCACTTGCCTGTTTAGCTCTTTTATAATGTCTGTAAGTATCTTTCATATATTAAAATGGAATAATGGAGGGAAAAAAGCCTTCCTTCACCTTACGTACTTCTGAGGCCCAATTCCTCTGCCCATCTTTATAACCAAACCTTTCAAAAGAATTGTCTTTATTACCTGTCTCTGCCCCTCTCATCCTATTTTCTTAAATGCAATCCAATCACATTTAAGGAAATCGGAGCCGGGCTCGGTGGCTCAGCCTGTAATCCCGCGCCTTTGGGAGGCTGAGGTGAGTGGATTGCCTGAGCCCGCGGGTTCGAGACCCGCCTGGGCAGCGAGACCTCATCTCTACAGTAAATCAAAAAATCAGCCGGGCGTGGTAGCGCATGCCTGTAATTCCAGCTACTTGGAAGGCTGAGCGGAAGGATCGCCGGAGCCCAACAGGCGAGGTTGTGGTGGCCGGGAACGGCCA